GGGCTGGGGAGGAGGGGCGGGGAGAGAGGAGCCAGGGTAGGAGGGAGAGAAGGAGTTTAGGAGAAAAAAGGCGATAACAGAGGTACAAGAGATGTAGACAGCCTACAGGAGAGACAGACAGATGGAGAGAGACAAAGAGAAGCCTTGAGAGATAGCGTCAGAAAGTCAGTGATAGAGCTCGGGCTCGGGCGGGAGACTAACAAGATAAAGGGACAAGGAGACAGACAGTGACTCACATTCAGGAGGGCCCCCAAATGCACATACTTCCCCGAGACACGCGTGGGCGCCGCATCATGAGGGACTTCATGCATGGATACACGCACGCCATGCACACCCGCAAGAGAGAGAGAAAGCCTGAGATAATCTTCTGCCCCTTTCCCCTCATTCAGTCTTAATCGAAATTAGGGGCGGGGGGGATGTGTGGGCTGTGGCGGATGAGAGAGGAGGGGTTGCTTTCTTGCTAAGTATTATCCTCTCTAGTCTCAGACTCCAGGGTTTCCTGCTGTGTCCCCAGACTCATTTTTTTTCTAGCGATTGATAATTGGGAAGTCCCTCCTGAAGTCTAACCTCAATCCCTATTGCTGCTCATTTCCCCTTGCTAAAGCTTTTGAATTGCCTTCAAGGAATATGAAAAGTAAACCCTTTTACAACCCTTTAGAGAATTATCAACTTTCAGAATCTTAGAAGCTCTGAGCAGGAAAGACTTCTAGGGATCATCTGGTCACTCAATTCTAGTTTTAGAAAGGTTGATATCCTGTAGTGGTAGACATGTGGGCTGGTACTGAGGTCAGACTCTGTTCTCAAATCACAGTCATACCACTTACTAGCCCTTCGACTTTAGACAAATTGCATAAGCCAAATTGTGCTTCAATTTTTTTTTTTATTTGTAAGCAAGAGATTATAATAGATACTTCATTGTAAATTATGTGGAGTTTACACAAAGTAATATATTTACAGGATTTAGGACAGCACTGGGGCACATAAGCATGTACCCCACCCTCATCTTTGTACAGATAAAACCTGAGGCCCAGAGTGGTCCAGGGCCCTGCTCAGGTTCAGAGCTAATTATGAGTACATTGACAGAAACCCTGGTTTCTACACTCCTGGGATGATTTTCTTTATTGGTCCTTTATTGTTCACCCCACTTGTCTGGGCCCCTGCCTCAGTAGCCTATACTTGATTCAGTTTAGACTGCTGTAATTTTTGTAGAAGAAGGACACTTCAGAAGCACATGTTCTGAATTAGGAGGCAGGATTCCTGAGCCCCAGAAGTGTTGAATGTGAGGGTATAGATCTGTCCATCCCCACTATATTTTTGTCCTTGTATGAATCTCTCCAGATTTCACTTTGTTCTTTCAAACCACGTACTTGGGGGCAAAGAGGGGACAGCATGTAGCCAGAGCAGCATCACTGTCAACATGACTCACATTCCACCCCCAGTGTCAGCACAGCACCAAACCTGCTCCACCACCCTAACCAAGTAGACAATAAATATCTCATGAGTAATAAATGTCTAATTGTTCATTTTTCTTCCTAAGTTTGAGGAAAAGAGAAGGGTGCAGATCCCTGGGTCTCCACCCTTGCTTGAAGGGAGAGGAGGGGTGTCTCTGGACTCTCAGTCCCTCAGACACCTGTCTTCAACGGGGAAACCAGAAAGGAAACACAGAGGACCAGCGTCACCTGGTGGCCACAGGTGCTTTAAGTTTGTGTGTGCTGCATGTGCAACAGTGACAGGATGTTAGTCAGGCTGGGGGAAGGGAATGGTACGATCTCCCCTCAGCTGGCCCCTGAGCCCTCCTAACTAGAGTCTGTGTTCTGCTTTTATAACCCAGGATGACAAGAGCAAGTCTGAGGAAACTGAGGGGTCAAGTGATTTAGCTCCAACCAGCATGACCCTGCTAAGGCAGCTAGAATGCCTGTGTACGTACCATTGCCTCAGCTAAACTCTATTCCATTCTCACAGATCGAGTTCTCTCCGGTGAACATTCTCTTTGGATAAGGCAAGGGCTAGGGGCTGGCCTCACTGAAGTGGCTATCAAAGCTGGATTAAAAAAAAATGTTTTGAGCTGAAAAATACCTGTTTGCAGGGATGGGAGGATCCTGGCAGCAATAGTTTGGGGTAGGGGTCATTTCTGAGAAGTTAAACAAAAAGCAGGCTAATCCTCTTAAACTCATATGTTTTATACCTAGAAACTCCTCATCCGAAGGCTATGTCCCAGGCCAACTGCTTTCCGCCCATGCTCTGACCTGGGTCCCCCAAAACTCTCCACTATTAGGTTCCAACTGCAAACTAACACTGGCCTATTTCCTTCTTCCCCAAAGACCACACCTGAGCATTAAAAGAATGGAATTCATTTATTAATAATTAATAATGCACCTCGGACAGCCTAAAACATTGAGTAAGGGATGGATATGCCTAATTTGGGGTTTGGGGAGAGGTTGTCTATGAAAATGTCCACAGGTCTTACTTTCATCTACTCCTATACCAGCTGGCCACTATAATTCTGGAGGAAACAGTCCCAGATGCTGGTGAGTGGCAACATAGTTCTAATGGAACCTACGGAAACTCTGGAGTCTACAGAAACTCTGAGGCCCTCGTTTTAAGAGGGAGCCATAGGCTTGGTGGAATGGGCAGTTCATGACTGCATAGAGCACAGGGTTGATGCAACCACTGAGCCAGGTGAAGTTGGCAGCAAGCATATGGACAACCCGGGGAGCCTGGACCCTGGCATCTAAGATGTTGAGCAGCAAGAAAGGGATGTAACTCAGGACAAAGCAGAGGAACACATCAAAACACATCAGAGTCACCTTCCCAAACTCTGATGGAGAGTCCTGAGTTTTTTGGGCTCTTATTTTTGGCCTGGCCTTGGCAGGTGCTTCTGGAGAGCTTTTCTCTGCCGTCTGCTTAGCTACCTTGCTGTTGCTCTGGTCCCCATTTCTGATGAGTCTTTTTTCAGGGTCTGTGTGGTGGCAGCACTGACTGGTTCAGATGAAATCCTCTCACTGGCCCCTCCTGTTGCTATCCCACTGTCCAGCTCCTGGAAGTGACCAGGCATGGCCTCATCTGTCCTAGCCACATGTTTGGAGCAGACACTTGCCTAGTGCAGCTTGTACTGATCCAGCACCTGTGCTGCTCACTTCACCTGGTGGTGGATGAGGCAACAGAAGATGTCTACACTGCTGAGCCCAAGCGCAAAGTAGATGCCCATGAGGATGGTGGCGTAGGGCCGGCCTTGGATTCGGTCAAAGCTGTAGGTACAGACTACAGGCACCAAGTTATAGATAGGCCAGAGCGGGGCAAAGCTAGCCAAACCCACCACCCAAGTGCCCACCAGTGCCAGCACTATCCCCCTGGCACTGAACACTTGGGGAAAGAGCTTAGGGTAGGCAATGAGGAGGTAGTGTCCCAGGACGATGAGGCAGAGGGTGAGGATGGAGACAGAGTTGGATGCAAAGAGGAGGAGTCCAAAAACCCTGTAGAAGGTGGCACCAGTTCTCCAGTGCAGGTGAAGATAGGTGTCCATGGAGAAGGGCTGAAAAATGGTGCCGTAGAGCAGATCAGCCACTTTGAGGTTGGCTATGAGAACGTTGAAGCGGGTACAGAGCTTGGGCTGGATGGCCAAGGCCAGCAGGGTGAGCACGTTGCCCATGGTGCCTGTCACAGCCACCACCACCCCCAGGTAATTGCAACATAACAATAGCCCAGCACAGACTCATGGTAGCAGGAAAAGTTGGCATCAGAGGTGTTCCACATGACAGAGGCTGAAGGAGGGGGTGGGTAGAAGGGGAAGAGGGAGTCAGAACTTGACTTTGAACTTAGATCTCTTGAACAACTCTGGGCTCTTGGACACCTGAACTGCTCCAGGAGCTCACCAGCCTCCCGAACCATCCCCAGGCCTCTTCATCCCAAGATCTCCAGTCCTCTCCATAGGTTCTCTTAGTTCTTTCCCATTCTCAAAAATTTCCCCAAATTCTTATCTAATTATCTCCTAGTCTCTGTCCACTCCAAACTCCAGGTCCCATTCAATATCTACCCACATGCCACACCCCAGTGCCCTCTAACCTTTTGAATTTCTTCCCTGCCCCCTAAGACCACCCAGGAGTTCCTCTCTGTATTTAGGATATTGCTATAGTCCCTATTCACTACACATACACACGCCTCGGTTTTTTTCTGTTTTTATTACCTGGGAGATGAGGAGACAGAGAAAGTAAAAGTACACCCACCACAAGATCACTCACCTGAGTCTCCCAGCCTTCAATTCTCTCTCCAGTGGAAGAAGAAATCCAACTAACTCAAAAGGCAGTCCTTTCTGGTGGGCAGTCAAACTCCAAACAGGAGGTACCCTGTTTTCATGTTGCCTATTATGCTAAACTGAAAGAATAAGAAATTCTCTAGTTACCCAAGCTCAGCCACTTCCTTCCCTGCCTCCAGTCCTACTTGTTCTGCATTGGCTAGTGAAATCTGGGCTTCTCTGTTGAAATTCCCCTGTTACTTACTCCAGAGCCATATTATCTCTCCCTTTCTCCTTCCTGAAAACCAAGCTCTGTTCCCTTCCTGTCTTTGCATGGCAGAACACCTATAAGATCATTGCCAAGAATTGTTGAGACATAGAGACAGAGCAGTAGAACATCTGAGCCACTTCCCAAGGGGCCAAAGGACAAGACCGAGGATCAACTCTAGGCACTCCAGAAGCCTTGGCTTTTGGGGGGCGGGTTTTTGGGGGGAGGTGGCGGGGAGCACTGCCTTCCCTCTCTCCAGGATTTGGAGACGGTTCAAGTCAGAGGGTCCCATGTAATATCCTAGCACATCTGAAAAATGAGTCAGATGAAGAAAGGTGGGAAATGAAGCAGCCAGGATTCTGGCCTCACTCCCCACAAGTTTCAATCATTCATCCATTCATTCAACAAATACGTATTACACGTTAGGGATACAAGAAGTTTTTGTACATGGGCTTGTGCATAGTCTAGCAGAGGAGACAAATATGTAAATATAAAAATGCTTAAATGGTTCTCTAAAGCAGGGGTTGGCAGACTTTGGCCTATGGACCAAACCTGGCCTGCTATCTATTTTTGTGTGGGCCATGAGCCAACAATTTTTTTTCTTCCTCATTTTAAAATGGTTCCATTTTAAATGGTTCCTACACAATATCCTCAATTTTACCTCTTGGCCAGCACAACCTAAAATATTTACTATCTTACCTGTTAAGAAAAAGTTTGACAACTTCTGCTCTAAAGTGTATCAGGGGCTTTGAGAAGAGGAGTTAGCTGTTAAGGGAGGAGATCAGGAAAAAGGGTCCACAGAGAGATATCTGTGCTGGATTTTGAGTGATGAACAGTTTTTTTGGGAAGGTAAGTAGGACATTCTGGACAAAGGGAACAGGATGCATAGAGTCACAAAGGTTTAGGTAGAGGTGAACAAAGAGTGTGAGGTAGGGAGCAACAGAGAAGATCCTGGAGAGGTGCGCAAGGCTGAGATCAAGGAAGGCCTTGTGTATCATGCTGAGGGGCTGGGTTTTATCCTGGAGGCGATGGAGAGATGGGCACTAAGATAACTGTGAGTAAGGAGTGAAAGCATGCAGGCCAGAAACGAGAGAGAGCAGTAAAGAGGCGTCAGTTCAGACAACAGACCGGCAGGGCCTGAGTTGGGGCTAGGGCTGGCTTCATGGGCATGCCACCTACATTATCGCACAGGGTGCTGCTCTTGAAAAGTCCAGTTTTTGGTTTAATGTTCTGTGGTCACTGTCTTGAGGTCCTTTTTGAAGAAGGGGCCCTGCTTTTTCATTTTGCACTGCTCCCCACAAATTATGTAGCCAGTCCTAGTTACAGCAGTATGGGAACGGAGAACAGTGATCAGGACCTGTAGGTCTTTAAGAGGCCACATAGTACTTATTTAGTGACTCATTGGATGAAGGGTTGGAAAGAAGGATGTCTCAGATGAATCTCAGTTTTCCAGTGGATGATGACACTCTTGATAAGACAGGGAATGTGGGGAGCACAGCATGTTTAGGGAAGGGTTAAATCATGCATTCAGTTTTAGACTAGGTTTGAGGTACTTGTAGGGCATGCTAATATCTCAGCTCCTCTAACCCCAATTTCTTCCAGCACCTATCTTTCTTCCCACATGTGACCCAGCCCCTGCTTTTCTCTACCTATTCTTCTGTAGGGCCACTCTTACCCCTTAGACTTCTGGACCTCTTCTTCTTCTTTTTTTTTTTTTTAGCTAGATGGACTTGAAAACACAAACAAATCCAAAACTCCTCGATGGGTTCCACTGCTGATCCCACAGCGAACTACCACCCCAACTTCACAGTTGACAAACCAGGGAGGCCCCTATTCTCCTCTCCTTCCTCTTTAACAGCTTTCATCAATTCCCTCCTCCTTTCTTCTGCGAGACTTGGAAGTGGGTAGAAGGGGGAAGTGAGCAAGGGTGCAACTCGGGAGGACCCCATAGAGATCCTGGGTTCTGGTCTGGTCTTTTTTGTTTGACCTTGCCGCCCAGCAGGGTTAGAGAGAGGGATCAGAGTCACTAGCTACTCTTGGGAGTGTGTGGTTGAACTGAATTTTAGAGATAAAGAGAAGACCTCTGTCCCCTTGCCCTCCCCCTTATATGAGAGAAGAGTGTGCTCCTCTGTCCCACATACCATTTAGGGGACCAGGTGAGAAGGTATTCTAGAATATCTATAAATAGCATGGTCCCAGTTTTTTGGTATTGGATACACGAAGTCTCAATAAACTTTTAAGAGACCCAGACCTGCTCATTTTGCAGATGGGGAAACTGAGGTCCAGAGAGTGGAAGGGACTAACCCAAAGGCCAAGCAGAGCCTAGAGCTCGGATTCCCAGTCCCCGCCCCCGTTTCTTCCCATGTCTTGCGTGGCGAGGGTTTCCCTCAATAGGCACAAAAGCCTTGATTCTTTCCTTTGTCTGAGGCTGGGTCTAGATCTGGCTCCCCTACGAGACTCCTTTCCCATGTCGTTGGCGCCGCCTGGTGGAGTTGCAGAGAATTCTCAACAGCTGAGTCGGCAATCCGCGACCGGGACTCGAAATGATTCCCCAGCGCCAAGTTTACACTTGAGCTGGACCGGAGTGGGGGTGAGTGGGATGGGGAGCTTCGTTCGCTTCGCACAAGCCTTGGACCTTGCCTCTTTCTAATCCCCTCCTTCTTCTGGCCCCCTTTCCTGTGTGCCGATCCCCCTCACCATACAGATACATATCCCGATGAAATTGCTCCCAAAATAGCAGGCAAAGATTTAGAGTATGAGTCTAGGGGACGGAGGGCAACGAATCCAGACTTTATTGTCAGGGAGAAGGAAAAGGGAAAGACGTGGGTGTGTGGCCAGGGTTGCTACATCGTCAAGCAGAAAGAGTTGATGGGGAGGGGAAGGCCAATGGGGGCCCGGCCCCCTCCGGGGTCGGTGACTGGAAGGGCTGACGATACGGAAACCACGGGGAGGGGTGAGGTCACGCCCCGCTGGAGTTGTACAGTGGTATCTGGTGGGAGGGGACAGCCATGAGGTCTAGGAGCTGGGATGGGGAGGCTACAGACTGCGAATCCTGCGGAAAGGGGAAGGGCGGGGGCGAGGCTTCTATTGCTTTTTGCTCACAGTTTTGCGGAAGGCGAGGCGGGGGTGGGCTTGGACTGGACACCCCTTGCCCCCCTCAGTACCCCTTGGGCGATGGGTGCTGGTGAAAAGAATGGAATCTGGACTGGGGAGGAAGAAGGTGAGGGGAGGTTCTATGGGGCATCTACTTGGTCCCACCCAAGTGCCAGAGATGCCCCCAAGTGCTGCCCCCTGCGATGGGCCCGGCTAGACCTGGGGCGGGGTCATGGTGCGGGGCGGGCACAGTGAGGTTGCAGACGGTAAAACCAAAGTGCTTATGAGGGACCCAGGATCCCGCCTGCTCCCTTCCCCCTGTGGAGGACGGGGGTGTTCACGGAAGCGCTTCGGTTTTGGGGGTAGGGGGCCGGAGTCCCAGAGTCCGCTTATTGCCAAGAAAATCCATTTCTGCCCCCTGGACCCCGACCATGGCTTGTGAACCCCGTTTTGTGCTAGGTTTGGGGGGGAAGGGCTGGATGGACATGGCTTTTGGGAGGGGGGTGTCTCCAAGGGGGCTCGGGGGTGAGACGGCCCCCCCTTTTCTAGGGGAGAGGGAAGGGCAGGGGGCGGGGTTCCCTGAGATCTGGGGTGTTCCCCCCCTTCTGAAGTCCCCCTCCCCCACTACCCCTCCCCTTTCCTGGAACCCCGTACCTCGGGGTGGGGGGGAAGGAGAGAGATCATTCAGGGAGTGCCGGGAGGAGGGGCGGGCTTGGCAGCCCGGAGGCCTGGGTCCCGGCTGGAGGTGGGGGCGTTGAATGGGAGGGGGTTCAGGGTTCAGGTCAGTAGGGGGAGAAGAGGATGGGTCCGTGCGCTGTTCGGATGGGCCCAGGGGCCGGGTGGAGCAAAGGGTGGGTGATCGGCGGTCCCTGTAAGAGAGGTGCGGCTGGAGCCGGGCGCAGGGACAGCGGGGAGCCTGCTGCCGCTGCCATCACCGCAGCCACCGCCAGGGGGCTGGGGAGCAGGCCGCCTGCCAGGGACTTGGGCAGCTCCTTGGAGAAAGTCAGCGTGCCCTGCAGGAGGGAGAGGGGCAGAAAGAGGGAGGTCAGTTTTCGGCCCTGTAAACCCTACCTCTCCACGGGCTGCCCCGAGTCCCCTTTTCCTCCCTGCTCCGTTTTCCCCATTGTCGAATTCACCAGCTCCCAGGTCTCACCGCCAGCT